GCCATTTGATAGGCTCCATCCTGCTCTGGGTTCCTCAGGCTTGCTGGCAGAACCAGGTCTTCAGCATCTTCGGGAAGAGTATTAGAGTGGGGGCCATTCTAATCTCTGGGGGAGTGATGTTCCAGAGAGAGGGAGCCACCATGGAGAAGGCCCTTCTTCTGGGTCCCACCAGGTGTATCTCCCTCAGAGATGGGACCCACAGCATTCCATGCCTCCCCACTCTGATGTGTCAGGTAGATGTGACCGGCCTGTGTTTATTCCTGTGTTGCTCCTAAACCAGGGGTTTAAACTCGATTTCATTGAGGGCCACATCAAGGTTGTGTTCGACCTCGAGGGCCGGGGGGGAGTGGGGTGTGGCCATGGTGGACGTGACAAGGGACTTGTGTCAGGGCACCTGTGGTGACCAAGTGCTAAGGCAGGACTTCACTGAGATCCTCCCTCACTCTCATTATAATCTCCTCCCTTCCATTTTCCCCCCCTTCACTCTTCATTCTTCTTCCTTCCCCTCTTTATTTATTTTTCCTTCCTTACTCTTATTCTGTCCTCTATAATTACTGACTGAATGTATAAAGGCAGATAGATAATTCTACAAAGGCATCCATACAAAGTATTTTTATTGGTTCATCAGGCATCCTCAAGATAACTCACAGTTACATTGAGATTCATCTCAATGTCCAATTCTCTGCATAGCTGCTTTATGGTGTAAAAAGATGGTAATCTCTCATCCCGATAATGATAGAGCAAAGGGTGAGGCACCAGCATGCTGCTGGGGTCCAAGCAAGAGTGAAGAAACCTCCCCCAACCCACCAAGGGTCAATTCAGTGACCATTCAGGATTACAGATGTGGTCACATGACATGAACCACATTTCCCAGGATAACTTAACTACATTTACCATGATGCATTCCCTTAAGGGGACAGCTCCCAATTCCTAACTAACTATCCCAAATCCCATTACCTATATACTGGCTGGGCAGCACACTCCCCGCCTGGAATTATAAATTCCACTACAAACTAAATATTAATAACTATATAACTAAGATAAACAGTAAACAATAATAAAGCATCAAACAAAGCAAAGCATGCAAAGCTTGAGGTTCAATCTTCAAGTTCAGCCTTTCTCCGCATCAACATTAGGTCGGTGAACAGTCTGGTAAGCTATGCAGAGAATTGGACATTGAGATTAATCTCAACGTAATTGTGAGTTATCTTGAGGATGCCTGATGAACCAATAAAAAGACTTTGTATGGATGCCTTTGTGGAGTTATCTATCTGCCTTTATACATTCAGTCAGTAATTATAGAGGACAGAATAGTAAAAGGATAGTTCTCCTCTTATTCTGATAATGGTGGAGCAAGGGGGTGAGACAGCAGCATGCTGCTGGGGTCCAAGCAAGAGTGAAGAAACCTCCCCCAACCCACCAAGGGTCAATTCAGTGACCAATCAGGATTACAGATGTGGTCACATGACATGAACCACATTTCCCAGGATACCTTAACTACATTTACCATGATGCATTCCCTTAAGGGGACAGCTCCCAATTCCTAACTACCCTGTTTCTCCAACAATATGGCCTCCCCCAATAGGAAGTCCCAGCATGTTTTATAGGCATGAAATGAAATTAAGCCCCTCCCCCCAAATTATGTCCTATATTAAAACATGTGAAATGGGGGGAATGGTGGGGGGGGCTTGACGTTAGAAAGTACTTTTGTTGCACACCTGGATATGGTGCTGCCTGCGTTGATCCCGATACGAAGTGCCCCACCAACGCCGAGGTCAACATCCAAGCCGTCGCCGCCCGCCCGCCCGAAGATGCAAGGGGGGGGGGAATTAAGTCACCCCCCGAAAAGACGGCCTAGCCATTTTTTCGGGGCTCAAAAAAAAATAAGACCAGGCCTTATTATATGAGAAACACGGTAACTATCCCAAATCCCATTAAACTGTCTGGACAGCACAACTCTCTTCCCATATTTTCTTGTCTTTGCTCTTTCCCTTTTTCCTTTCCTGCCCCTTCTTGCATACTCAAATGCAAAAGGGGAAACATTTCTCTTTTTCTCTTTAGTTTTGATAGCCCTCTGCCAACCAAAATGGGGCACGGGGCGCAGCCCATTTTTGGCCTGGAAGGCCTCCTGCAGCACTCTAGCAGCCGAAACAGGGTGCAGGGGGGTTTCCAGGCTGAAAATGTGCAACGGGAACCTGTGTGCTGTAAGAGGTTGTCCAGGCCAAAAATGGGCCATGGAGGAGCCCACACACATCCCTCTCACGCCCCATTTTCACTAGCAGAGGCACTGTGGACCGGTCCTTTGCTCTTTGCAGGCCGGTCCTGTGGGCCAGATCTAAGCTCCTTGCAGGCCTTGAGTTTGACACCCCTGTCTGAAGCAATAGAATGCCTTCTTTCTTCCATTATAAAGACAGCTCAGATCATTTTACAACCCATGGACCACATCTGGCCCTTTGGCTATCCCTATCCAGCCTGCATGAGATCAATAAAAAATTAGAGATTAAATGTAAATAAATGCCGCCATGCGTACAACGGCATTGCTTTTATTTTGGATGCGACTTTTTTAATATGTGTGGGCATGCATACTGACACATTTTCAGATCTCTATTAGTTCAGCCCTTCACAACAGTCCCAGTTTCTTATGTGGTCTCTTGGGAAAATTACTTGCCTACTCTGGCCCAATGCATTTCTAACCAAACTCTTCTAATGAATGCTTCTTTTGGTTTTAATGTACACCTTTGAATTTGTTTGTTTGTTTTTGGATTTTTTAAATTGCCAGATGCTTTCAAGGTTCAAGTTAAAATAAAATAGTAAAATAGTTTATTTCAATTTGGCTCATTCCATTTCTTTTCAGAACTCATTCTGTGGTTTATATATAAGCAACGTGTAGTTTGTCACTCATACATAGTTGCTTAGTCATGTGAATAATGATTTTCACTTCCATTACTTCCTATTCATAGTTGTGCTCTTCCCTAAAGGGGCCCTCCATCCATAATATACACAATAATTTGGCATTGATGCCACATCCTTTTTATACAACCAAGTTGACTTTTGTCTGGCTTGTCTGTAATGAGCAAAAAATCTGTTGTCTGACACATAACAGAAAGAATGTAATTTTCCCATTCAGAGGAAGTTTTGTCTTGTTTCCTGAGCTGATATCTCAGGCAACCCTATCATGAAACCCTGCCTCCATCCTTTTTAGTTTTACAATCTATATAAAAATCCCTATTTCTCCTCTTAGGTTCCTATTATTCTTAATGGGGCAGCAGGCAGTGAAAACTAATTTGTGATACCTTAAAGCAGAGGTCTTCAAACTTGACAGCTTTAAGACTTAAACTCCCAGAATTCCTCTTCCAGTCATGTTAGCTCAGGAATTCTGGGAGATGAAGTCTACAAGTCTTAAACTTCCTAAGCTTGAAGACCCTTGCCTTAAAGGCTTAAGAACAGGGGTGGGATTCTACCAGTTCGCACCTATTCTCTAGAACCAGTTGTTAAGATTCTAAGCAGTTCGGAGAACCGATTGTTAGAAGAAATTACTGGCCTAATCCTGTAAGGAAGGCAGGAAGGAAACATTCTGGTGTTGCTTACAGAAACTGCCTATCCATTAACCCTTATTACATTCTTGGCAGGACTAGACTTCCTGTCTCTGGAACTTCTCTGGAGTTTTTTCCCCCTCCTTTGCTGGTACTTTGCTTGTGTAGGGTGACCATTCAAACTTACAATGGCACTGAAAAAAGTAACTTATGACCATTTTTCACACTTACGACTGTTGCAGCATCCCCAGTCTTGAGAGGCCAGGCGAGGAGATGCGTGCCTCGATGTGAGTGATATTGAGTTGGCCACATCCAGCCAATATCATCACCACCAAGCCATGTCCACCACCTAAGCCATGCCCACAGAACCAGTTGTTAAAAAATTTGAATTCCACCCCTGCTCAAGAATCATTATTGTATAAGCCTTCTAGTCTATTTTGAATTTCATTCAGCAATTCAAGGGAAGTTTTCAAATTGTTTTCAAACCTACAAATTAAAATAAGTTTTTGAAATGTGGCCTTGCACTTTCCAAACCCACTTCCAAATTATCACTCTTTACTAAATAGTTATACAATAATGCAACTTAATTTTTCCAGGTACATTGTTTTCAGCTGAAGGTTGGATAGTAAAGAAACAAGCAAACTTGAACCTGTCAGTGGTATCTGTGAAAGTAATGATGCCCAATGCACATGGTGATATTATGCAAGTGTTAACCTAAATCATCTTCTAATATCTGGTACAAGCATGTAACTCATGGCATCTGTATAATATACATGTTTTGTCATTTGCCATTACACCACTCCTATGGATCCCTCCAATTGTTAAAAAATGCAGCATTTTTATAATGGGAACATATCTTCTCAGCTGTTCTCATTGTGTATAAAACATGCATGCTTATATTAGAAACTCAAGAGCATATGTAGAGAATACATTTGGCTTTACTCTGGTCATGATGCCAACAAGAATAATCAGGTAATGCCCTCCTCTCCCAATTGCTGCTTCAGTGCTTTGGGGAGGGCATTAAGTTAACCATTAATTAGTGTGAATGGAAAGAGAACAACTCATGGTTTTGAGTCTGCCCTTTTAGCTATCTCAATAATTTTGAACCATTAGATGTCATTAACCAGATTTTTTGTTTTCTCAAACACCAGAATGTACTAGCTCAGTATTTCATTTCATTGTCCTTCAACATTACTGTATGTTTTTACAATAAAAGGGACTAAATCATCTGAAGCAGATTCTGACCAGTTCTGGAGAACTGGTAGTGGAAATTTTGAGTAGTTTGGAGAACCAGCAAATACCACCTCGGACTGGAGATTTTACAGTATTCTTCCCCTGCCATGCCCACCAAACCATGCCCACAGAACCAGTAGTAAAAATTTTTTGAATCCCACCACTGATCTGAAGGCCACATATAGGTAGCAGAAAGCACATGGAACTGTGAGACAAGCTTAACTTTTAGTCTTTGCCACATAGAACAGGCATATATACTGCCAAAGCAAAATAAATAAAAACATATTTTTGTGGTTTGAATTATTTTTAATTCCAGTTTATTGCAGTTTATACCATAGATTTTTATAACAAAATTTCCTGGCTGGCCCAGCTGTGGATAAAATACATTTTTCCAAAGCTTTCTTCCAAACTAAATGCTCCCAGAACCTTGTGTACAAATGAAACCTTATGATCAGATGTAGAAGAATAACTAGGCAAGACCAGAATGTAATGAATGAGAGTTAGGAATATTAATTTTTAACCACATTATGACAAGTTTAATGCTGGAGTGTTCCAAAAGCTTAGAATACCTGCTGCATTCAATGGTCTAAGAATAATTATCATGTGATTATAAATGATTTCATGCTCTAAAGATTTGTATTGTTAATCTTTAACCAGAAAATATAAAGGAATTTCCAGTCTGCAGCCTCTCACTGGTGTCTAGTCTACACATTTCCTTTTCATAACATTTGAAACTCCCTCTCTACTATCAAACTTGGCAGCATGACTGATAAAATATAATGATGTAGTTTCCTGAGAAGCTGAAGCAGATGATTCAAAAAAACCCTACACTTTAAATCACTTTAACTCATTTTTAAAAAAATCAATTCTTATTGTGAATGTTTTTGAAAAAAGAAAATCCTGTCCCAGCCATATGTATGACACAACTCTATTATTTTGGTAGTATTTGAATCCAATTGAACAAACTCCTCAAATTAAGTGTGGCCTTGCTACCATCAACCAGTGGTTCAGTAAATCACAAACTATAGTACTGTGGTGGCAAACCTAGGGTACGTGTGTCACAGGTGGCACCCAGAGCCTTCTCTGGGCACACGTGCCATCGCCCCAACTCAACTCCACCGCACATGTACGCGTGCCTCCCACCAGCCAGCTGGCCTTCGGGTCTCTGCCACGCTTGCGGGGGACATGGGCACATGCAGGGGGTACACACACACGCGGGGGGGGGGCTGCCTTGCATTTTGGGTACGTGTGCACGCATGCGCACATGCTTTGGGCACTCAGGGCCTAAAAGGTTTGCCATTACTGCTATAGTACCTACTCCCCTTACAATAGCTGCATTATAAAAATGAAGGAACTAAGTATCTATCTCCCCTAACTGGGATCATCTGCATGTAGATCCTCTCCTCACAGAACTGTGCCTTCTGTCCTGTTGGGGACAATGAAATCCTCTCCACCATCTTGAGAGCCCCTTCTGTCAAGCTCTTCAGTGGTACTTCCATCTATTTCAGTGACTATCTATCTTTAAATGTTAAAAAAGTCCTAATTTCAAAGTGGAGTGGATTATGTACTACTTTGACTTTCTTACAAATTCAAATGCCCATGATCTATCTTTATTATAAACCCTGTAACCTTCCTAACATTAATTAATTGTATATAAATTTAAGATACTAGATTCCAACATGCAATTCAATATGCACATCATGTACATATCATTTTTCTTTTATAGAAAGATTGTGAAAATCTTCTTTGAAAAAAAAAAAAGAACACAAGACGTGTATTTCAGGACTATGCTGCAGTGCTTTCATTAACAGAAGGATACACAAACAAAACTATAAGGACCTCACATTTTTTTTAATGAAAGGCAGGAACATTTCAGTGAGGCCCAGCAGCAAAGAAAAGTACTCTTATTAATTTCATGATTAATCAAATCTACTATACTTTCAGTTTGGATACAGGATATAATGAAACCAAATACCTTTTGGAGACAACTAATGTGCTCACTAATACTGCAAAACCCTCTTGTAACAATGTAATCCTGAGATCATAGAATTAATGAAGTGGGCCAGCATTAACAAAATTATCCTGTGATGGCAAAAAAAATCTTGTCTCTAAACTAATTTCTCTCCTTGTTCAGTCATAATTTACATTATGAATGCTCATCTTCTAGAAAGAAAGGAATCCAATGGATGGTTTATTCAAACTCAGCTGTTAATCCTGTTCTAAACAAAACAACCTTAAAAAGTCACAAAACAGTTTTTAAAAAGCCTAAGCTTAACATAAAACTTGGCTCTCCTCATATGTTAACTTGAAATCTTTTTTCTTTTAAACAATAGCAGCTAGAATTTCCTCGTCCCTTCTATCAGCATACCTAAATTATGGTAAATTTATAAATGTTTACAGTGTCCTCTTAGCATATTTGGAAAGGATGGATTTTATACACTTTGTATCCTTGTTACACATGAAAGTTCAATTTCCATTCTCCAATGGTCTTTCTTCCATTGCACTTCCATGGATCTGTATTCAAAAGACAGCTAAGAAAAGCAGAAAATATCATAGAAGAAGGAATCTGCGGCCCTTCAGAAGCTGATAACCCTCAACTTCCATCAGATTCAACCAGCCAGTTACTCCAGAAAGCCACCAAATCTCCATTTTTGTAATGCTTCTGTGCCTGTAAGATGCTTTAAGGAAAGGGGAAACTTACAACCTCAGTGCTTACACATACTGCTCTATTGCGTAGGTACTCATCTCTTGAGTAGCTGACATTCATATCTGCAACTCAGTTTACTTTGTACTTTTTAACCCAATATTAATAAACGGGCACATGTAGCATTAAAGCACAGTGTACAGAGTATGCAATGTGACCGGGATGGAAACATGCAGGAACCATTGCATAGACAAAAGTGACAAGAACATCTTAAAGTCCAAAACAAGGAGATAACATTTGGAAGCAGCTCAGGCAGATGGCATCCTAATTCACTGAACTACAAAGAAGTGATGGTATATTACAATCAGACTTGCAAGACTCAATTATTGTAGCCGATCTCAGTAAAAACTGTATCCTTCCTTTGGAGATCAGTTCCTGAACTGGTCTACCTAGTGGGGCTGACACACAGCCACAGATGCTTCATTTAATTTCCAAATTATATTTCTAATATTTAGACTAGAATTTAGATTTAAGCTAAGAATAAACTAAAGCTCCCCACAGCCCCATAGTTTTTCTTGCTATTGTAGTCCAAAGCTGAATATATTTGTTCATATGTCATTTGCTCTGCTGACAGCTGACACCACTGTTTTCTCCACAGTAGGTTGTTTTTTTCTTTTTTCAAACGCAATGGAAGAGCAGTATTCATCTAGCGACATTTAATAACTAGTGATGGCCTTCAGCATACATTTTTGATCAGTGGTAGTATTTTTTATGTCTGCTATTATGAGGATGGGTTTCCATGGTACCATTAATGTTACTTGTGAAACAGAGCAGAGTCTCTGAAGATACCATTGGTTCGTATAGATGAAGTGGAGATAGTCATTTGCTTTAGATCAAGCCTTTTGTAAATGATCCCTAATTATGTCCAAGAGAAGAAAATGTTTTGCTGAAAAGTGCTTCTTTAAATGTTGATATTTATCAAATAAGTAAAAAAAAAGCAGCAACAGTATGATTAATTCATCAACACTAACTCAGAAAGATGACGCAGTGCTCCAGCACAGATGTCACAAACATGTCAAATTCTTTATCCTTGGTCACACACTGACCAAATTATCGGCGCTTAAGTACTGAAACACAGTCTTTTTTCAAAGGCCCGAGCTGCATGTGAGCATCTACGCTTTCGAGAAAAAAGGCTGGCTTGAGGTTGTGTGTGAACAGTGCTGGAAACTGGTGGTTGATCTTATTCTGGAAAGGGTCAAAATGTCCCTTTTTAAAGCGAGCCACTTTGAACTGCTGGAGACAAGTCATCTTGGAATCCTTGACTCCATAAAATGTCAGCACCTTCTCTGAATACTCCAAGTACACCCCAATAGTATGAAAAAATGACTGCTGTATAACACAGTCAAATCCGCCAAACCAGGCAACATAGTTCTGGCCGTTCCATTGCAGACAGCATGACTTCTCATTCCTGCCTAGGCGGCCCCGGTCATATGATTCCTGGGGATGGAAATCTTCAGTGATGATGCCAATGCTCACCCAACCATCTATGATTTCCACTTCCCAGTAATAGTTGCCACGGTTCATAAGATTCTCGCCCAATACTTGCTCACAGTTGATGAACCTGGTTGAGGTCTCAGGGTAAGCGATGGGATTCAGCACACGCTTAGCCCCCTTGGTCCCAAAGAGTTGGATGAACTTGTCAGCAGTATCACTGTCCAAGTCAATGATGAATGCAGCTGTACAAAAACAAATATATATATAAAGGCTTCAAAATGATAAACAAGGAAGGCACATGGCATAAACATGCCCCACTCCACAAAAAAGCAGTGTTCTCATATTAAACCATGGCTTGATTAATCTTGATTTACCAAAGGAATGTTTAGGAGACCATATTTAATATTTGAGGAGGAAGTTAGGACTTCAGTTAGTGGAATACTGAAGCAAGATGGCTATGATGATCTTTGTGTTTGTGTGTGTGTATGTAGATAATATTTGCATTTTCAGAATGGCAGGAACGTTTATCTTAAAATGCTAGTTACTGTAGTTAAAATATTCATATACTACTTCCTATTTAGACATTTCAAAGTGGTCTACACTAAAAATCACCAAATAAAAGAAAATTAGGTAACAAAACTAGGTTAAAAATATACCTTTAAATATTATAAAATGCTATAGAGCCAAACAAAAAAAAGAAAAAAGAAATATAGTATCTCTGCAGACACTGCTGCTTAGAATTCTGTATGACATTTCAATCCACAAAAAATGACAACAAAGCTTATCTTATGAGCCAATGAAAAAGGCATGAAAACCAAGGAGAACAATACAGAAAACAAATGGCCTTACATTTGAGAAAATAATCTCGCGATTCCAAACTGGCAGGGTTGATGCTCCTTTCTGAAACCTGCGGTTCAATTGTCACTGTGAAAAGAAGAATTTGTCATCAATATGTACTGTCAACACTGCAGACAGAACTGAAAATATCATCACCATAAAAAAGCCTTTTGTCCCAAAGCAGTAACTTTTTCCTGGTTTTAGAGGAAGGCAAATTGATATTCAGCTAGATGGAGGCACATCTTCTTATGGTTGCATTCTGTGATCTTCAAAGAACATATATAGGCTTAAAAATCACCTGCTGCATAAAACATTTTTAGGAATGAAGGCAGATATATGTGTCCCAGTGTAATGTTGCAGAATGCAATCTGGGTTGGTGAGTTCACTTTCTGGTGAGAGAGAAGTTCCCTGAGGTTGGGCTCCAGCATGAATCTGAAAGCTTGGAAGACTAAACCTCTGGTCCCAGTGTCCGACCCAGATTGGATCATGAAACATTTTTAAACTGATAATGCATCACAAGAGAACAATTGCATATGTTAACATAAGATCTAGCACTGTACAGTACTGCGCATTCTGTATAACTGGTAGGGATACCAGCAGAAAACTCAGCTGAGCTGGCAAGTTTTCCTTGTTTCTACAAACACTCATCCTTTTCTATATTAACATGTGCAACTTTTTTGGACTGGGCATAAGTAGCAGAGCCAGTTTTCAAAGGACTCTGTGGGTTACTGCCAAGACCTTGGGGGAATCAAGAAACTTTAAAGTATTTATGGGAAATCTCCATATTCCCTGTTCAACTTTGTGCTATGTGATCATACATTGTCTCTGGCAGTTAAAAGAATTGCTAAGCTGGGTTTTTGGTTTTTGGTTTTTTTTTTTAGAACTAAGGAGTACAGAGGAGTATGGGGATGTCTTGAAGAAGATAGTGGCAAGTGTTGGGAAAACATGACCTTAGCCTGGGAAAGACGAGAGAAAAACTCAAGACTCTCTTTAATATAAGAGAGCAGGGATGAGAAATGCCAGGCTTTCAAGCGTCTATTAATACAGCCTACAGTATATCAATAGAGATCTATTCTTTCTTGTGCTGCTGTTTCCCGACCTGGCCTACATCCAAGGGCTGACACAGGCTCTGTGGAGTTTGCATGGAAACTGTTTTTACCATTTGCAGAAAAAGAAAAAAAAAAAACCTGCCTCACCCTGATTTTTGCTTATTGGCCTGAGCAGATCTCTGAAAGAGAAAAACAATTCTTTCATAAGCTCCATTTCCATTTTTGTTTTGTTTTGCATATGATCAAACAAATGTACAAAACATGATGTGGGGTGGGGTGGGAGAGGAATGCAAACTTTTTATTTGCCTTCAGGGAAAAGCAGTGATTTTCATCCCTGATGTGTATCTGAGTTGTTACGGCACTAAAGTGATTTATGACTGCTTTTCACACTTACGACTGTCGCAGCATCTCTATGGTCGTGTGAGCAAAATTCAGATGCTTGGCAACTGCTTCATATGTATGACAGTTGCAGTGTTCCGGGGTGACGTGATCCCCTTTTGTGACAAGCCAAAGTCAATGGGAAAACCTGATACACCTAACCACCGTGTTACTAACTTAACCTCTGCAGTGATTCACTTAACAACGGTGACAAGAAATGTTGTAAAAAGGGGCAAAACTCACTCAATGAATGTTTCACTTAGCAGCATAAATTTTGGGCTCAATTGTAGCCATAACTCGAGGATTACCTGTAGTTTCAATGTAATGGGGTTGGGGAAGGTAATAATGCTGGCAAGATGTCAAAATGAGAGTATATACTGTAATAAGCTCTGGCAGTTCTTTTAGGTTTTTCTATTTAACTTGCTATGAAAGATAAGCATTTGTTAATTACCGTTAAAATCCAAACTTCCCTGCCAGCGGCTGTCAGATGCAGAACAGCTCTAATGTAATAATGTTTTAAACAGCTGAACGAAGAAAACACAAACAACTAAGATTTCAAACTTAGAAATGAGCCAGCAATCTTCATCTGCAACTGAACAAGCAACATGAGCTTTCAGTCTGGCAGGGTAAGAGTCTGGAAATCAAAAACTAGCAAGTAAAAAAGCTTTTCCTGTTCTGTTATTTCAAGGACACCAGCATTGGATATGTTTCCCAAACCACGAGTAACCACACCTAGTGATGTCTGTTTGTTGCCTGTTTATATATTCGAATCATTTTTTGAAACATCTGAGTGCTATTAAAAGCCTAAATAACTAAGACTGCTTAGAGTCTTCCTATCTTGCGATTTTTGTCAGTTGCATCTCTTCACAACACTTTTAGATGGTGCTTATTTTGCTTCTTTTCAACTTGAAAGGCCAGCATTTCATTTTGATCTGCTAATCACAAATGCTAACTCAAAACTGTTTTTGTGCCCCTTCTATAGTGCCACAGGGGACTTAAGAGATATAAATTGCACCCACTGGTTTTGAATATCCTCCCCCATCGAAGTTCTAAAATAAAGACTTATCAAAACTCTACAGAATAGTTTACCATAAAAAGCAAAGTTTGCATGCTACTGTTGCACAAGAAAAAAGAATTAGGTACCTTCAGAAAAAAAATCAGAGACTAATATGAAAGTTATAAATATGAAAGCTCTGAAAAGTTGCATGAAAGAAAAGAAACAAGAACCTCACAGTAACAACAGTTGACAGATATGTAGATAACAACAAAATTGACATCTTAGGGCAAGTAGCATGAATACTTTATCATAATGTGCTAAATAAGCCAAGAATTAAGTACGCAAACCCAATGAACTAAGCCAAACTGAATAAATCATACTGTGGCTTAGCACAGGGGTCCCAGTCCCTAGACCATGGCCTATTTGGAACTGGCCCACTGCTCACATGGCCCAGTTCTCCTCTCCCCTCTAGCTGGGCCACCAAGCTATAACAGTGGGGGACTGCTGGCTTAGCATAATGGACAGACTGAGTGAATGGATGCCAGGCTCCATGGCTGACATAAATCTCCTATTCCACAGCCATATAGATCTGGTACTTCAGATGAAGGGCAACTTTTGAAGGACAAGAATTCTGCCCACGTCTCAGGGTTCCTTCCATTATGAGATGGGTGGCTATAAAAATTCAATAAATGAACAAAATTACAAACCTTCTGATATCCCATGATGAAAAAGTCCATTCTCACCCTTCCCTGACAGTTGGTCCCATTGGTTCTTGCAAATATTTCCCAGCAGCTCCTTCACAGCAAACACGGCCTGACTGGATTTAATAAAACTCAGTTCTCTGGGGAAGTTTGAACATGCAAGGTTTTTTTCCTCAGCTGCTATTTTTAATGCCTGGAATTCCTGGTCAAGAAAACAAACAAAGTTACAGCAATTGTTTGACTATAAGGTCTATTCAGCAGATACAACTCTTCTCCAGTCACTAACATTTAAGGCTCAAAACTCAATACAGATATGGCAGGAGTTTGAAGTGGGGGGAAGGAGGGGTACACAACTCTACTGGCTTTATAACTACTGGCCTACTCTGTTCCTGGATCTTCATCTGGAACAGCATCAAATCCAAGAGAGCCTTCTCCTGATACTGTATGGCCCCTTGTCTCCAAGAGTGAAAGAAATGAGAAAACATTTCTCTAGCAGAGATCTTGATGGGAATGAACATGTGATCTTGGATGAATAAAAAGCAGACAAGTGATGGGAGAATACAGTAAAAGAAAAGCATTCGGGACACATTCATCCACTCATATGGAACCCCTCCCTGGTAGACACAAACTATTAAGCATAGCATCATTAGCCCTTTATATTAAAGACAAGTGCATATAGCTGTTGCTGTCCTATGACTATATTGATGGAGACGCCTGGACGCTATTTCACATAATGGGCTTTTTAGGTACCAACCAAACATATTTGTACTGTGCAAATAGATACGGGTATGGAGCTGGCTCTTGAGCAAGAGCTCCATAGTTACTGCTGGACTTTCTCCAAGGGGAACTGATGCATCCTGAGTGCCCAGGTGGAGAAGAATACCATGAAGCCTATGCTGTCTCTCTACTGGCAACTGAATCACCTACAAAAATAATTCTTGGAGCACACCTGCAGAAAAGTGATGGTGTCCGTGCTGGGGACTTTCTCCAGGTTCAGCTTGTGTTCCATCAACTGGGCATGTCGCTCTTCTTTATGCCGCAGCTCCTCCTCTGCTTCACCCAGCATGGCTCTTTCATCAACCTCAATGAAACCAAGCACTTCCTTCTTAAAGGTTGCCAGGACCTTGGTGGCCTCGGCAAAGAGATTGTTGACCTTTTCCTTCTCTTTCTGAGCAGTAGCCTTAAAAAATAAAGATGGATTTATTCCAACAAAAATCTTTTGTCATATTATCATTGCTTAAAATACGAATAAACCAAGCTCCCATCCCAAATAAAAACAAATGAATTATCATGTGAAACCTACATTTAAAAAGTAGCCTGAGAAAATACAATATGGAACCCACCAAAAGAATCATTTTTAAAAATTACTAACAATTATAGGGACAGTAGGCAATCAACAAGTTTTACCCTGCTTCCGGTTTGAGCTTCTTCGGCGACAGACAGAAATCTGCGATCGTGCGCGGTTTCGGTCTGGGCTTGCCGCTGGAGCGCCCTCAGTGGCTGGTTTCGAGGCTAAGCCACCCCGTAGAGGTGGTGAAGGTGGGGAGACTGCCAGCTGGGTTGAGGAGAGCCGCATCTCTCCTCCCCAGCTGGCCATTACTCCCTTTCCCGAAGGCGGTTGCAGCGGTGGTCAGAAATGGCCACCTCAAAGAAGAACTTGACCGGAAAAGAATGTGCAGGAGGAAGATAAGAAGTAAAAGTTTTGGCTGACCGGGTTAAATTGCAAAAGCAACAACTAAGGTACCCTGGAATTTAAATTAAAAAAAATAACATCGTTCCCAAAGAAGAGTCTGAAGCAGCGAAGGAAAGTGAAAAGGGAAAGGTTTGGTTTTTTTTTTCTTCTCTCCCTTTCCCTATACTGACAACTAAGAGACTTAAATAAGAAATCGGGGAAAAATCCGCTTTGACATCAACAGGCAATTAAACTGAAAATAAAACAAAATGTCAAAGGGGAAATAAATTTCTAAAAAATTTTATAAGCAGGAAAGGAAAGAAAAAGAATAAAAGGGCAGGATCTGGAAAAAAGGGAGGAGACTGCCTGGAATTAAAAGGAATCTAACTTCAACAAGACTTCTAAAAGATACATTTTAACTGAAGCTTGGCAACTAAATAGTAGAACCCCAGGAAGAGAAAGTGAAAAAAAAGCAAAAAGAAACAGCTTGCGTATATTTGGATTACTTGGTGATCTTTGGATTCTTGGTTATTGCATTTGAATGACTAAAATTAATCGGGTGGTTGTTTAAAAATTTATACAATGGCACTACTTCTGGATGAATTGAAAATGGAACTTAAAAAGTACAAAGAAGATGCACAAGAAGGGAGAGGCTCTTTCGGCTTCGGTTTTCAATTCTTAGAAATGGAGATTTGGAACTATGAGAAACAACAAGAAACATCTGCAAAACAAGAAGACTGGGACAAAGAAGAAGCCATCTTTAATGAACAAGTAATTCTATGTGGGGAAGAAAAAGGAAAGGGGGAAAGAGAATGGAGAATTTAAGACTTAAAAAAACAACCAAAGAAAAGAAAAATAGTTCGAAAAATAAGTATAATATTGGAAAGCAACAGAAGAGGGGAATACAGAAGAGAGAAATAGAGGTAGAGAGACAAGGGGGTAAAAAGGGGAGAGAGAAGAAGAGAGGGAAGAAGGAAAGGAAAAGAAGTTACAAAGGACAGAAACAAGATATAGAGAAACAGGGCCTATTTAGAGATAATGGGTGAAAATTTAACTGAAAAAGGGATTTTGTAAAGGTACATAAGATTGTATTGTTATATTAGTAATAGAAATAACTTTAGAAAATTGGAAACAATGTATGATTAAAATGAGGGATAAAATAGTTACTGTAATCTAGTGAAATGTTTGTTAATAAAATAAATGAAATAAAATAAATGAGAAAATTGAATTAGGAAGGGATGGGAACATTTTAATTAGTTAATGTTTTATAAAATATAAGTGAAGGGGGGGGGAATTAATTATGGAAAGCTTATAACTGTTCCCATAGAAGTATGATATTTAATTGAAAATGTTAAAGAAGTGAAGATTTTAATGAATCATTAATGATAGAATTGAATTGGAATGTGTTGTTTTAATTACATATATTTATAATCTTTTTTTTTTTTAAGAATATAGTGTGTATTTTAAGAATGTACCAAGCAGAATCCGAATGGAAGTTATGTATTATATTGAATGTTATAACTTTAAGGTATATATTGAAGTCTAAATAAGAGTTAAATGGATAAACTTAAAAGATATAAACGTGTCATACTCCAATCAGCAACTACAGGAGAAACTTTGTTTAATGAGAAAAGATAATATGAAATTGAAACAGGACAGACAAAAAAGGATAAATATAATGATTCGAATTGAGGCGAGATAATTAAAATAAAATTGAGAAAATTAAAAGAGGGGAGAAGCTATGTAGAAAATGTAAAACAGTAATAAGATATGGAATAGAACATAAAAATGAGCATGAAATTGAATTTGTGTCTGTACGAAGAAATGTAACCAGGGATTACGCTACTTTCAAAAAAGGTGTTTTATTTGTATTTTTTTGTGAAAACTCAAATAAAATGTACAAAAACAAAACAAAACAAAAAAACAAGTTTTACCCTTTCTCTCAAACTCTACACTGAGGTTTGGCTATTATAAAGAAATCAGGAGAAGTGACTCAGCCTACCAATTTTCCTTAAGGTTCTAGAAGGCTTTCCACTAGTACAGCAATGATCCAGGAGGAGCAGGGCTGAAGATTTAGTGATTATTTTTTTTAGAGCTTTCAAGCAGGTTAAAGACAGGAATGGGAGCAGAAAGCTTCCTATTCAGATTCCTAATCAGAGAAAAATTATGGCAAAATTGCCAAATTTTATAGATTTGGCTTTGCTTCATTTGGGGAAGTTTATATGGGTAGGAATGAGGGCCCTTTATTTCCTAAACAAGAAAAAGGGAGAGGGGATACAAACAGTTGAAATTCAGTTATTTTCCTGACAAATTTAAGACGAACTATCTTCAGATGCCATTAGCAACAGATGGAGTGATGGAGGATTGTATGTAACCCATGAAATCACCTTTACTTTTCAGTGATAAATACCTATCTCATCCACTAACTTGGTTCTTGGATAAAGGAGTTTTCCCCTAAAACTGGGGGATTTCATACTGGAGAAGAAAAACATAAGCTGCTTCTCCCTGAAAATTTTTATAAAAGCTGCTTCTTAAAAAGTTTTCTAAGAGTGCATTTAGGGCTGTATCTCTTGGCAAATTGAGTACAGCTAAGGTCTTTGTGTGTGTCATTTCTTTCCTTGTCCTTCAGACTCACACACTTCTTTTCCATCCCTCATTTTAATACTTTTTCCTAATTCAATTTGTTGTGCTGTTCTCTTTGCAGGCTAATCATATTGCTGCGGAAAACTTAAAACTAGCATTAAAGTGGAATGTAAATGCTGAAAAAAGAAGAGAGGGATATGAGAATACTCCCCATCTCTTAACGAAGGCTAAGAAACTGGAAGAAGTTTTTAAAAAACCCACCATGGCTGTTCTAGAAATACCACAAAAAGTAGCAATTTGGGAATGGAATGTTCTGGAATTATCAGAAACATTACATTCTCAAATTGAGGGAATTTTTTGCAAAGTTGTAGAGTTTTGCAATTTCTAAGGAACAGCATCCAATCCTGATTCCAATTCTTTTTCCCTATCATGAAAGTTATCCATGAACTTTATCTTTGCCCTACAGTACTACTTTTCTACGGATATGGGGCCCCTACTCCAAGGATCAAACATTAAGCACTGTCACTATCTGCTATTCAAAGAAAGAAGCCTCATGTGATTCTGTTGCATTTGTAATTTAGTTCTCAGGAAACATTTGCATAAGAAATGGTGGAACAGTACATTTGTTTTTTATTTATATGTGAATTAGTTAATACAGAAAATTATAGAAAATATATACAATCCCTTCTTGAAAATAGCATCCCTCAGATTTTCCAAATATGTTGGGATTGTGGTCTCTAGCATCCTGACAGTTGCCCCCTTCCTGAGGGGAAGGATGGCCTATGTTTGCTACCTCTTGACAACAGACAATAAAGGAAGGAAAGTCTGTGGAAAGGAAAGGTTTGAGAGGAGGGTTCAACATTTTGCTTTTTACTGGGGAAAAATAAATGTGGTGAAATACTTTGATGAGGTCGACCATCCTCTTCATCTGCGTTATTGAGGCTCCCAGTTCATCCAGCTGATTTTCAATATTGTTCAGGATTTTTGGCCTCTGAGCCTTTCAGGCAAGAAAAAAAAAAGGAGAGAGAATCAGAATCTCAACTTTACAGAAATTTACATTTCACAATTATTTTTACACAATTTGTATAGAAATTGACATTTACAATCATCATGACTCACACATAGGTTATAACTGTTCCGTTTTTCTAAAGATTAAAATAAGCCTATTTATCTGGAGGTGCAAAATGCAGTCAAAGGTCAGGTGTAAGACTGCATTGTCTCATCTTTCTCTATCCCTAAAGTCCTTATCATTGCTTATATACACAACCAACTGCTCTTAAGCTCTTTCTCAATCCTACTTATTTTGTTATTAAGTAATACAAACATAAAACAAAACCTCTGCCTGGTGAGCAACTCAAAATACACGGAATTGTTTTAGAGTTGAAGTCATGATTGTCATGAATTACTTGGGCAAAAAGCATCATTCTCCTCCCTACAAGGCCTTTAAACCAGGCTAAATTTACTCCTCCTTTATCGCTCAGTATTTGTTCTATATTCTGATTGGAATAGAAAAGAACAAGTGCTGCATTCAGACCCCCTCCTACTCATGAGACCATGTGCTGGACTGAGATAAAGACCAGACCGGGACAGAGATAAAGACCAGTCCGAGTGGGCTGCCCTGAAAAGAACAATTGTTGCATTATCAAGAAAGAACCAGGGCAGAATGAATCAACACCCCTTTTCTTATTAAAAAAAACAAGGAAATCAGAGTGGTAGGGAAGAGAGCTTATCTGCTGATGCCATAATAACCCACTGATCACATAAAACAAAGCCAGGGGAGGAAAAGAAAAAGATTAAATGGTAAAGCACTCCAGCCTGCCCTTTTCTTAAACAGATTCTGAAAACACAACTGTTTCCCAGATCGGTGTGACCAATGTGCTCCCTAGTGATATGTGCTAACTACATATGTGCTAACTGCTATCATTAAAATAGTACTGGGGTGGGGGGAGAGAAAAGTCATGTTTGCTTGATATTGGTCTTGCTTGAAGATAAGACTCCCTGGGGATCAAATTCAATTATGCATTTCTTGGAAGTAACAGGGACACGTCTTGCCACTGGATTTTCTGTTCAGTCCTGGAATTTCCTGGTGATTTCCCATCCCAAACCTAACTCTGTCCCTTGTTTTACTTTTCAACATCAGCCAGAATTAGCTGGGTGCTGCCACCTGTTATGCATAGGGGGCAGAATTCTGAAGAATCACTTTTAGGTTGTTTCTGTATGTGTTGTACAGTATGTATGTTATATTCATTCATGAACTACCCAAATGCTATTTCAGATTTATCTTTAAACTAAGACAACTTATTTAAGCCTTTCCAAGTGCAGTCATCTCTGATTTTCAGCCAAAAGCCATCTATTTTTGCCAAACAGGAAAGCTTTGCTTCCTCTGTTCCACCAGGAGCGATAACATTTTATTCCCGCGAGAAAACAATTCATTGTTCTGTTCCTTTTCATTCATCGGCCCCAAACCGCTTTGGTTTCAAAGCTGGAGGCAATTTATGGTTTGATGGCTTAGAAAAAAGAATTGGTGTCTAGGATACAAAGGATTGCTTTATTTCAACTAAGAAAAGGGTCCACCTATTCCAGTAATGCCTACCGTGATTAAAAATGGATTTTCACAGCCTGATGGCAAAGTCTTTCCATGAGTTGCAACTCATGTTTCTATAATTAGAGCTGCTGGATAAAGAGCCCAATAACTTCTGCGTGTCAAAGATATACAACACCACTGAACTTTTAGTTTGCTCATGGTAGGCAAATAACTATTGGCTGGAAGAATCCAGCCTCTCTTGGAGGATTTATCTGAATGGAATCAGGGATGCAGAAAATATAAATAGGCAATTTATCAGACAAATATGAGAATCAGAAACAAGGAAAAATCTCTTCTCCTCTGAGACGGCAGCACTGCAAGAGATTATACAGTGTTTGAGAGTTTAACATATAAATTCTGAATTACTGTTTCTCCTTGTTCAGGGCCAATCAACTCTCTAGCTCCTAGGTACCATTAGAGTGATAATCTAGTTATGTTTGTCTCAGTGGTAGCTAAGCAGTCTATAGAAGAAATAATAACCACATGACCCCTGAATTCCCTACGTTTGCCTGCTTTCTTGCACGTTTCTGCTATCTGAACTGAAAATGAAGTTTTAAAATTAAGATTTTAAATATAGCTTAAACATAGTTTTTAAACGTAGTTTAAAATCCTCAATCTTTCCAAAAAACTAAAAAAAACTCTGAGCCCTGGAAAATCCTACTTATCACAGTAGCAGTTATCATAGCTGTGTAATTTGTGTCATGGCATTATCTGCTGGGATCCTTTTTCACCAATACTATGATAACCACAGGCATTTGCTACAACCTTCAGCAGTCTCTTCAACTGTAATATAAGCTGCTTATTATATATATATAAAAAGCAGGTGATTGATTTTCCAAGTATCGCACCCTTCCAAGGGTGGGATGCAAATATTTTTACTACTGGTTCTGTGGGCATGGCTAGGTGGGTATGTTTTTTTTTTCAGCACACACCCCTGCGCTCCATTTTTTGCCTCCTGGGCCTCAGGGAAGCCTCCTGGGAGGC